AGGTGTATGTGGCTGGCGCCTTAGCCGCTTGAGCCACAGGCGCCGATCCTGCACGTGAATTAAAATATTCGAAAGACAGCTGCAGTTTTGTCATCAAGGACCCCATCTTGGATTTGGTTCTGTTTCTACAGCATAGTAGTTCAGCATCTATAAAGAGCCAGTGTTTGGTATTTGTGACTGCTTTTCGCATTTATTTTGATGCATTAGGTATTTATTGTGCCTGTAGGTTGCAAGTCCTTGTGTTGGGTGCTATGGGTCCTGTTGTTGGAAGTACTTACGTAGAGAAGACACAGCACTGCAGAGAAAGTGACTGTGACCTGTGATTAGCGCCTGATTGAATACATGCTCTGGTTAGTTAATTTCAGTTTCTACAGACTACTCTAAAGCTAGTGAACTGCAGGAACTCTGTAAGGGGGTGCTTAGGTGGCCAGGATGCAGGTCCCCTTTCCTGTGGTGGTGTCCTGATCAGAGGACATTAGACATCTTTGAGCTGGTGTGGAGCTTGTGAGAAAGTGACTGCAGATGAAGTGGTCTGTAGCAGCAGGGTGCTGTAGCCCACTGGGCCTTGACCTTAAAAACAGGCTATTCCTGTTGAGGCCATGATTACAGCCTACCCAGTAGTTTTTTTTGTTTGTTTATTTTATTGTTTTTGTAGAGATAAGAGTCTCACTTTATTGCCCTCAGTTGGCAGTGGTGTCACACAGCTCACAGCAACCTCCAACTCCTGGGCTTAGGTGATTCTTTTGCCTCAGCCTCCCGAGTAGCTGGGACTACAGGCGTCTGCAATAACACCTGGCTATTTTTTTGTTGTAGTTTGGCTGGGGTGGTGTTTGAACCCACCACCCTTGGTATATGGGGCTGGCGCCCTACTCCTTTGAGCCACAGGTGCCACCCCTAGTAGTTTTCATAAAACATCATTAGCAGCAGAAATGTCATTTGGGGCATATAATTGTGTCTCATTGTCCATTTATGGATACTTTTTCTTTTAGCTGTCTGCAGGTGGGGGCAGTGTGAGGATGTACATGAGGGGGACAAAGTTTGTATTGGCCAGGGCTCAGAAGTGAGTGGTGGTGGCTATGGAGAACCACTGGGTGTTATCACTGGGTCTTAGGGTTTTGTTTTGCATCTTTTGGCTTGTCAAGTGCTCCAGGCATTTGAACTTGAGTGCTTCCTTAAAGTCTTCTCCCCAGCCCACCCCCCCCTTTTTTTTTTTTGAGATAGAGTCTTGTTTTGTCACCCTCAGTAGAGTGTTGGGGTGTCATAGCTCACAGCAACCTCAAACTCTTGGGCTGAAGTGATCCTCTTGCCTCAGCATCTCAAGGACCTGAGACCTGCCATAACACCTGGCTATTTTTCTTTTTTTGAGACAGAGCCTTAAGCTTGTCGCCCTGGGTAGAGTGCTGTGGCGTTCCAGCTCACAGCAACCTCCAACTCCTGTGCTCAAGTGATTCTCCTGCCTCTGTCTCCCAAGTAGCTGGGACTATAGGTGCCCACCAGAATGCCCAACTATTTTTTGGTTGCAGCTGTCACTGTTGTTTGGCAGGCCCAGGCTGGATTTGAACCCACCAGCTCAGGTGTATGTGGCTGGCGCCTTAGCCACTTGAGCCACATGTTTATTTTTAGAGATGGGTTCTTCCTCTTGCTTAGGCCTTGAACTTCTCAGCTCAAGTAATCTATCTGCGGCTTGGTGCCTGTAGCTCAGTGGCTAGGGCTCCAGCCACATGCCCTGGGATTGGTGGGTTTAGACCCGGCTGGGCCTGCCAAACAATGACAACTACAACAACAAAAAAATAGCTCGGTGTTATGGCGGGTGCCTTTAGTTCCAGCTAGTTGAGAGGCTGGGGCAAGAGAATCACTTAAGCCTAGGAGTTTGAGGTTGCTGTGAGCTGTGACACCATGGCACTCTACCGAGGGCGACATAATGACACTCTGTCTCAAAGAAAAAAAGAAAAGTAATCTATTTGCCTCAGCCTCCCAGAGTGTTAGGATTACATGCATAAGCCCGGAACCCAGCTACCTCAGCCCACTTTTTTTTTTTTTTGAGACAGTCTAACTTTGTTGACCTTTGGTAGAGTGCCATGGTATCATAGCTCACAGCAACCTCAAACTCTTGGGCTCAAGTGATTCTCTTGCCTAAGCCTCCCACGTAGCTGGGACTGCAAGTGCCGACCACAATGCCTGGCTATTTTCTTTTTAGAGACGAGGTCTCGTTCTGACTGAGGCTGGTCTTGAACCTGTGAACTCAGGCAATCCACCCACCTCGGCCTCCCAAGTGCTAGGATTACAGGTGTGAGCCATTGTGCCCAGCCACCCAGCCTACCTTTAAGCCTGGCTCACTTCTACCCTGATAAGCTGTTTTGCACTCACTCCCCACCCGTTTAGCTAGGTTGAGAGGTACAGCTCGAGCTCATGGCTTTTGTAGGCTCCTGTAGGACCACTAGGGAGGATTCTGTCTGAGTCTTGAGCCAGCCTCTTATGTGTATCATGTGCAGTCTTGTAGCAGCAATATTATCCTTAGTCGCCTGACCTGTAAGAGGGCAATCTGTTGATTTTCATCTTACAGAATATATGAACCATATGCTTCATTAGCTAAAAAGTGTAATTGTATTTGGATTTTATTTTTTCTGTTCTTTCAAGTACCCAACTACCATTTGCTATCAGAAGGACACTTTCCTGTAACAGAGGCCACTTTCTGATAGAAACATTGTTAAGATTGTCTACATTGCTGGGAGCAGTGGCTCCTGCCTGTAATCCCAGCACTTGGGAGGCAGAGGCAGGTGGATTGTCTGAGTTTACAGGTTTGAGACCAGCCTGAGCCAGAGCAAGACCTCGTCTCTAAAAAAAAAAAAAATAGCCAGGCATTGTGGTGAGCACCTGTAGTGCCAGCTAACTTGGGTGGCTGAGGCAAGAGAATCACTTCAGCCCAAGAGTTTAAGGTTACTGTGAGCTATGATGCCATGACACTCTACCAAGGGTGACAGAGTGAGACTCTGTCTCAAAACAAAAATAAAAAAAACATCTTCAACAGGGCACCCATAGCTCAGTTGTTAGGGTGCTGGCCACATGCGCTGGGGCTGGTGGGTTCAAACCTGAATTAAAAAAAAAAAAAAAGGTTGTCTACATTGATGATGTCAGAATACCTTTTTGTGCATGGGTACGGTGGGGTCCTTTATTGCTTGGTCAGTGGTACTGCAGGTGACCTAGTTAACTGCTCTTCCAGGTGTGTTGAAAGTTGGAGGGACAAGTTGCTGTGTTTTGCATGTGTTACAAAGCACACTGAGTATGAGGTGTTGCAGCAGACAGGCAGCACTGGCGGTGGGCCTGGGGTCAGAGGATGGTCACCTGCCTTAGGGACTGTGATGTGTATTTCCCTTTCTTTCTCTCAGCATTGCCGAGGCGGTGGGGTGATTATCCTCATCTCATTTGCAGAAGTAGTTGGGATGAGAAGCCCTTTTCCTTCTTGCAGCCTTTCGGCCTTGCTGGTCACTCAGCTCATTCCTTGTGGTGGGAGGACCTCAATCTGATAGTCACTATGACACTCTCAGGAGTGACATTGGAGGATTGTGGCATTCTCTGTGGTCTGGGCATTCACTTCTTAGTATGAGAAACATTTCGATATTGTAAGTTTCCAAAATTGCTTTAGTGTAGAGCAAACCTTTTGGCTAAAACATGTCTTACCAGAAATTATAAAGCGAGTTTCTGGCTTTGAGTGTGAGTGGGAGGGCTTCATTGCGAGTTTTGTCTTGAGAAAACCTCTGGTTGTGTTTCCATGGACCCACCTTTCCTAATCCTTGTCCTCTTAATGGTTTTAACAGGACAGATTGATTCACTTTGGAGCTGTAAGTACTGATGTATTAGGGTGCAGCGCTCATTGTTCATTGACGCACAGAGTCCCAAAATGAATGTCCAAGAGCAGGGTTTCCCCTTGGACCTTGGAGCAAGTTTCACTGAAGATGCCCCCCGGCCCCCAGTGCCTGGTGAGGAGGGAGAATTGGCATCCACAGATCCACGGCCTGTCAGCCACAGTTTCTGCTCTGGGAAGGGTGCTGGCATTAAAGGTGAGACATCGACAGCGACTCCAAGGCGTGCGGATCTGGACCTGGGTTATGAGCCCGAGGGCAGCGCTTCACCCACCCCACCGTACTTGAAGTGGGCTGAGTCCTTGCACTCCCTACTGGATGACCAAGATGGGATAAGCCTGTTCAGGACTTTCCTGAAGCAGGAGGGCTGTGCAGACCTGCTGGACTTCTGGTTTGCCTGCAGTGGCTTCAGGAAGCTGGAGCCCTGTGACTCAAATGAGGAAAAGAGGCTGAAGCTGGCAAGAGCTATCTACCGAAAGTATATTCTTGATAATAGTGGCATCGTGTCCCGCCAGACCAAGCCAGCCACCAAGAGCTTCATAAAGGACTGCATCGTGAAGCAGCAGATCGACCCTGCCATGTTTGACCAGGCCCAGACAGAAATCCAGGCCACCATGGAGGAGAACACCTACCCCTCCTTCCTCAAGTCCGATATTTATTTGGAGTATACGAGGACAGGCTCAGAGAGCCCAAAGGTCTGTAGTGACCAGAGCTCTGGGTCAGGGACAGGGAAGGGCATGTCTGGATACCTCCCCACTTTAAACGAGGATGAGGAATGGAAATGTGACCAAGACTTGGAGGAGGATGGTGGCAGAGACCCTGCTCCACCCAGCAGGCTCACTCAGAAGCTGCTCCTGGAGACAGCTGCCCCGAGGGCCTCCTCCAGTAGACGGTACAGCGAAGGCAGAGAGTTCAGGTGAGTCCGGCACAAGGGTCACCTCCAAGACCTGGCAGGCAAACAGGAAGGTCATACATGGTCTTGTCTTGTAACCCCCAGTCGAATGTTCTGCTGCTGCTGTAGTTGAATTATAATTTTATTTTTCATGATGCCTTCACACTTGTCACCAGGTACACTGCATTCTACCAAGGGTGACAGAGACTCTGTCTTAAAAAAAAAAAACAAAAAACGCATCAATACTTAGAGAATTCTGGATTATTGCTTTTTTTTTTTTGGTAGAGACAGAGTTTTACTTTATCGCCCTCGGTAGAGTGCCGTGGCATTACAAGAGCTCACAACAACCTCTCAACTCCTGGGCTTAGGTGATTATCTTGCCTCAGCCTCCCGAGTAGCTGGGACTATAAACAACTGCCACAAAGCCAGCTATTTTTTTGTTGCAGTTTGGCTGGGGTTGGGTTTGAATCCACCGCCCTTGGTATATGGAGCTGGTGCCCCACCCACTGAGCCACAGGCGCCGCCCTGGATTATTGCTTTTAATAGCCATCTTCTGAGGTTCTTCCCAGAGGCGGAAAAATAGTGGTGAGGAAGCTCGTGTGGGGAATTGTCCAAGTACTTTGAAAACTTCCTGTGGCTTTGGTTGGAGTTCCAGGATTGGACCTTCTTTTCCTGCCACCAGAACGTATTAGTGCTATTGGGTATAGTTGGTCCACAGATGCCCAGGGGAGGCCTGGGACTGCTGTCAGCATGTGTATGCAGGCCCCCATGCAGCTGGGAAGGCTTGAACTGCTGCTTTTCACAGCCTGGAACCTGCTGCTTCATGCTTTTTCTCTGCAATCCCCATGTGGTTACCAGAGGTTTATTTGGCTTGCAGGTTGGCATCTGTTGGACTTGTGAGCAGATAGCTTGCGTTTCCTGCTCATTTCCTCAAAGCTGGTGACTAGAGACACAGCCTGTGTAGCTTTTTTTATTTTTTTTGGAGACAGAATCTCATTATGTTGCTTTGGTAGAGTGCTGTGGCATCACGGCTCACAGCAACCCCAAACTCTTGGGCTTAAGTGATTTCTTGCCTCAGCTTCTGAAGTAGCTGGGACTACAGGCGCCTGCCACAATGCCTGGCTCTTTTGTTGTTGTAGTTGTCATTGTTGTTTTGGCAGGCCCAGGGTGGGTTTGAGCATGCCAGCCCAGGTGTATGTGGCCAGCATCCTAGCTGCTGAGCTATAGGTTCTGAGACAGAAACATTTTTAAAATAGCACTAAATTTGAGGTCTGGGCTGCAGGAAAAGAAAAAAACAGAGCTCAATTATGATTCTGATTTTAAGAATTCCTGAGTGCCCCTGACCAGTCTTCTATCACTGGCATAAGCAGCGACTGCTTTTTCTTTGATTTGCTTTGTTTGTAACGCGAAAGCGTTGCCATGAAATTAAATGAGTACATTGGCATCTCCTGTCTTCTGGTACTCAGTTGCAAAGACTGTGGCACTTTTTGATTCTAACTTGCCCACTGTAGAGCTGCTGGTGGTTGGGACATTCTGGAACTCAGAAGTCCTCCCAGTCGGAGGCTGTCTATGGTAAGATTTTGTGGTTTGAAGATCTCTGATGTCAGGGCCATTGATGGGGTGAGAAGTCCAACAGGGGTTAATTCCATTTTGGGTGCATTCTTTTTGCTATGTGAGGTTGTGCAGTCAAGACTTGGAAGGGTGGAAGTGACAGCAGGCCTAGATTATGAAGAGTATTGGTGGCTTCCACCTTCAGAGGTAGCTTGATTAGGACTCTAGGCCCTTTTTTCCTGCTTCTCTGACTCTGCCTCCCTAGTGACCAGCTTTGTTGGAGGTGGCTGCTGTAGTGAACTGGGCTGTGGGTTCCTTTGTTGACAACATGGAAGGAAGGTCCTGCAGTTTGATCTGAGTGGGGAGGGCAATGCAGTGTTATTGCTGTGTCCTGCCCTTACCAGCACAGTCAATGTGCATGGACCTGAGGCTGTGGGGGGCTTAGACCACATAGAACCACTTGGAAAGAAAGTCAGGTGCCCCACACAGCACGGCTGTTCCCAGGGGGATCCTCCAAAAGAAGATTGGGGTCGCCAGTAAAGAGAATAGGAGAGTGGGCTGAATAGGCAACTAGGAGCACCCCCTGCAGAAAGGAGGAACTGGAAATTAAGTTGTGTGTGTGTGTTTTTTTTTTTTTTTTTTTTTAAA